AAAAAAAAAAAAAAGAAAAAAATAATAAAATTTTTTTTGTAGAGATAGGCTCTCACCATGTTGCCCAGGATAGTATCAAACTCCTGGGCTCACACCATCCTTCTGCCTCGGCCTCCCACAGTGCTAAGATTACTAAGAGCCACTGTGCCCAGTCTCCTTTGGCTTTAAATGGGTCAACCTTTCAGTGAATCAATGCATACTTCGAAGTATGCGTCTATAGCAAACTAGCATGTTGATATAACTTGATAGGAAATAGCCCACAAATTTTAAATGCTAGGCAGATGATTTCTGTTGGGACTCTTTTTATGTAGTATTTGGAACGACAAATACCTTGGTCACCAAAGGAGAGATCCATTGCAGCAATAATTTTGCCTTGAGCCTGAGAATAACATATTTATGATGGTAAAATTATCTTGTCATTAGAGATGAATAACAAGAATTATTTGGCATTTGATTTAAAAATCTAAATGCCTTATACAAACAAATAGTGAAGTTCTCAATCTCTACTGATTGAGAACTCTGTATCAATGCCATATATATTTACACATGTTCAAAATGCCATCGTTTCTCACATCACTGCTACAAACCTCTCGAGAATATCTCCAAGTGTTGGATAATCAGAGAGATTCTTAGGCAAAATAGAAGAATTTCAAGTGTCAGAGTGAAGGCATCATACAAGGTTCATCTCAGGGTGAAGGCATCATGTAAACTACCAAGCAAAAGGCAAAGCGCCACAAGACATAAGCATGAAGCATTTTGGCACACAGATAGCCACTGCAAATGGTGAGTCCAAAATGGACACTGAGAAGGCACCAGTGTAAAGTGAGGATACCATGTGCAGGTTTCATTGAAGTGCTCTTATTTCTCCAATGAGCATCCTTATTAGAAGCCAAGGTGTTCATTACTCTAATAGGAATGTTAATGAATGTCTCTAGCATGGCTGGCTCTACCTTCTGCCTTGCTGATTGTTAGGAATAGCAAGTCAAGTCACTTGTGGCATAGCAGACAGAGAGATTGCTGGAAAGAATTAAGACGAGAAACTCCATCCTCCCCCAACCCCTTCATCACCAATAATGAGTCCCATAGAGACTTAGGGAAACTTTGCTACCTAAACTGCTGAGTTTTCAGGAAATAAAAGAGGGAAACCCTGCCAACCTCTCAGTGAGACTTTTTTTTACTTTTTTTTACCACCCAGAAAATATGCTGAAACAAGGTCTGCCCAAACCATGCCCTCAGAAAGGAAGCGGCAAGGTTGGGATCTTTCTACAGGTTTTCTTCTTCCCACATGGAATTCATGAATCCAAATCTGCTACTCATAGATTCCCACCTATAGGCAGGAAGATACCATAGGAGTCACGTGAGAGGGAAAAGCACATAATGCAGGGTATTTATCCCCGGTCCTCCCACAAGGCAGCCAGTTATGAGAGGTGAGAAAGAGTTACATAGGCATGGTTGTCCTCTGGCTATACGTCATTGAAGCTTTTGGGTACACAGCAGAGCATTAGGAAGTCACCTGGGCTTCCTTTCAAAGCAGAAATTTATAATGAAATAGCTCAGCTTTTAAGAAGACCCAAGTCAATCTGAAGGGGTTTTCAACAAGTAACACTACCACCACCACCACCAAAAGGACTTATTAGCTAACACCTGTGTGTGTGACATGATACTAGATGCTCTGTATCATGTACTTGGTCCTTACATTTTTCTGATTCACAGCTTGTAACAGAAACCTGTGTACCTGAAGACAGTGGAAAACAAACAGATGAGGCAACTTCATGTATCAATTATGAAGGAAAAGCTGAATAAAACCCATAAATCATGCCAGCCGGCCCTAAGCTCTCATTTACTATGAATTTAGAGGACAGCAGTCTAAAAATCAAACATTTTCAATGATAAAAATAGCACAGATCTGTACTGAAGAAATGATAATGCACTATTTAATCCTTTTAAATGATCTTAAATTTTAAAACTAATACTATTAGTATTACAGGAAAGATTTGTATTGGATCACTTCCCCCCAAAAGAGAACAAAAACAAAACAAAAAATTCATTTACACCAACACAAGACACATGCATATTTAAAGAAACAGATTCATGCAATTTTCAGCAACATGTAGTCAGTTTCATATTCTCATACCTTAATCTTTGGTTCATCCTTTAATTTGTCCCTTTCTGGAATTCTGTCTATCTTCTTTAGCTTTTCTATATCTTTCCTTTTTCGTTTCTCCTCTTCTTTCCATTTCCTCCTCTCTTCTTCTCTTTGCCTTTTTCTTTCTATTTCTCTCCTCCTTCTTTCTTCTCTCTTTTCTTCTCTCATTCTCTAGAAAGAAAATCAACACAAGACTTGAAATAAGATAACCATCGGCAAAACCCTAATCAATCCCAAAAGCATGGTAGGCACCCACTAAACTGAATAATCTTTCCTTCCTACTTTCTACAAAGTGGCATTTTAACTTCTTTACCCCCACTCCACCCAGAAAAGGAAAGGCAATGAAGACCAGGACCTGCTAATATTAGTCTTCCACTGCTGCCTTGCTATCTCTCCAGAGGCTTTCAGAATATCAAAAGAGTGTCTCTGGGACAACCTAAGAATGTTCCAGGTTTGTAGAGTGAACTCCAGGTCCAATAACCAGAGTGAAGGAGAGGGCCAGAAAGTGAGACCAACAAGGCAAATCCTTAAAGAGTAATGGTGGAAAAAGCAGCTATTTCTCCTCCAGAAACCCACTGCTCTTAAAGTGTTTATAGACTGCAAAGCAATGAAATTAAAGTATTGAGAGAACTATAAAGACAAAAGATTTACCTGCTTGTTTTTCAGGAAGCTCAAAAGTGGGGTTGTCTTTTTAGCTACATAAATGTAAACAGATTATTAATAATACTTATCAACCCCTAGAAAGGATTCCATTTTCTGACATTCCCTGCCACCCACCCAAGGTGGGAAAACGTATACAGCCCATACGCCAAAAGATCACAACTGTATTATCAGAAAGAAGTTTTACAGTACTCGATTTCAACAATACAGGATTAAAATACCTTTTAAAAAGTGAAGGAATTCAAATTAAGACAACAAAATAATTTCTTAAAAGAGTCATTCCCAATTGGTGAGAATTAAGTACTTAGGACATTCTCTTATTTTATTGATAGGAGTGTAAACTCATTCAACTGGAAGAAGTTGGGGGAAGGGGCTAAAAATATCAAATTCTTTTGACCCCATAATTCCACTTCCAGGAATTCCTTCTAAGAAAGTTACCAGAAATGGGCTTATACTATGCATCTATTAATAAAAGTCAAGTTTTGGGCCGGCGCAGTGGCTCACACCTGTAATTCCAGCACTTTGGGAGGTTGAGGCGGGTGGATCACAAGGTCAGGAGTTCAAGACCAGCCTGGCCAGCATGGTGAAACCCCATCTCTACTAAAAATACAAAAATTAGCTGGGCATGGTGGTGCATGCCTGTAGTCCCAGCTACTGGGGAGGCTGAGGCAGGAGAATCATTTGAATCTGGAAAGCAAACGTTGCAGTGAGCCGAGATTGTGCCACTGCACTCCAGCCTGGGCAACAGAACAAGACTCCGTCTCACAAAAGAAAAAAAAAAAAGTCAAGTTTTCAAAGAATATTTTTCATTTTCACATTCTGAATAAACTAGTAGCCTTATAGCCATCTTTTAAAACATATATACCTGACCGGCACAGTGGCTCATGCCTGTAACCCCAACACTTTGGGAGGCCAAGGTGGATGGATCACTTCAGGTCAGGAGTTCGAGACCAGCATGGCCAACAGGGCGAAACCGCAGCTCTACTAAAAATACAAAATTAGCTGGGCGTGGTGGCAGGCACCTGTAATTCCAGCTACTCAGGAAGCTGCAGCAGAATCACCTAAACCCTGGAGGCAGAGGTTGCAGTGAGCCAAGATTGTGCCACTGCACTCCAGTCTGGGTGACAGAGCAAGACTCTATCTCTCTCTCTCTCTCTCTCTCTCTCTCACACACACACACACACACACACACACACGCGGAAAGAGAGAAAGCAAAAAAAACAAAAACACATATTCCTTAGGATAAATTCCCGAGTGGAAATCCTGGGTCAAAGATTATGCTCATGTTTAGAGCTACTGATACAGTAGTGACAGCCTCCTACTGAGAATGAACATCCAAGCTAGAATTCCTCAAGTAGTTTTCAATTTTGCAGTAACTAATTCCATTTATTGGTATTTTCAGGTCAAAATTTTTTTAGGAATATGAACTTCTTACTAGGAAATACCAATTGACCTTCAAAGGCTAACCAATATCTAAACGTTCCTTACCAGTCATCGCACTTTTTGTATTTACATTACATTTGTGTGACACTAAATAGGTCGAAGAATTTTTCCCACCTTATTAATGCATTCTCATAATCCTGTGAGGCAGGTATTACCATCTGCATTTTACAATAACAGTCTCAGAGAAGCTAGTGATTTCCCCAAAGTCACACAGCTAGCAACTGATAGAGGTAGGAGACAGACTTAGGTACTGTGATGAAAAGGCTGTTACTCTAATTCCTTTTGCCCACTTACCTATTAATTCTCTATTTTTTGCTTCTATTTCCTCTAGCAGTGTCTCTGGAGTAGATGTCATTTTCTCATTATCTGTGGCATAACTTTCCAAAAACTTTCTATATTCTGGATCTAAATAATTATTTAAGGAAACAGAAAATATAGACTTTAAACAAAAAAGGAGACATTATCTAGGATACTTAATTATCAAAGAAGATAATTTTCTCCTTCATGGAAGATTAAAAACCCAAACCATACCCACGAGGTAGACTATTTAGAGCTTAACTGGTCACTTGCTCTCAGAACTCCTATTACTGATACTCACTATGGGAATCTGGTATGACATGGAGGTCAGGAAAAATGAGACAACATGCATTGAACCACTAGGGTTATTACATAGTTTGCTTCTAAAAGTTACTGTCCTACTAAACTAAGTCAGGTGTTCCAAAAAGATAAATTAGGGAAAAGTCCTACATGTGGCACTAGATGTGATGGTAATTCCTATAGTTCTCTCCTAGACCTCTGACATCAGAAAGGGTGACACATCTGAGTCACTATATTGCTTATTTCTATGTGTCACATGATCAAGTCTTCCCGATCTAAATCTGTGATAAAATCAATATCACAGCTAAGTGTTACTGAGTCTTTACTGTGTTTTCTTTATAAAATACCTGTAATAGTAACAAATGATGGAAATAAAACTAGATGATTCTAAAGTGTCAATCACATATAAAATATGGGCCTAAGTCCTAATCCAATACAAAGAGTTGTGTAACAGCTATCTAAGATAACATTACAGAGGTCTCAGAATCTGAAGCCACTGTACCTTAAATGGCAATTATTTTGGTTTTTCAGTTCTTGTGTTTCTTTCTTTCTTGGTTGTTTTTTTTTTTTTTT